ATAAAAAAAAGAACAATGAATGAGCCAGGTGGTTATGAATGGCTGCGGGGAGAGTGAGCACACGAGGTGTTCTTCATTGATGAGTGCAGCGATCCAGTACCACAGTATGGAGCTGCATGTGGATCAAAGCTGGTAACAACAGATAATGTGCAGCATCTCAATTTGATAGACCTGCACGCACTGTTCCGTGCAAGCACACCTGCACACTGAAATGCTGAGCCTGTGTCTAAGACGTCATTATAGGATATTGTTCCACAGGTATTTCGTTGAGTGGAGAAGAAATCTGTCACTTCTACCTGAAAATCAACAAAGAAATAATATTCTATATGATGAGTTTTTAATTTGGCCATATTTTAATTTCCTGTCAACAGCAATTAATCATATCTACAGGGTGTGATTTGGCACACATGTCTACCATACTGTGCAATCTTTGTCTTTTGCCCACTTTTCTTCTGAAAGCATGTCTATTAATGGCCATGTTGTTCTGCTGTTCTGTCCTGGTTAAGCACCAAGGTTTTATACTGTAGTCAATTTTTAATGTGTTTTACATTATGCTTAAATCCCGTATTACCAAAAAGACATGGCCTGGAATCATCTTTCAGACACTCAGTCCACCTTGCCATTAACAAAGCTGTGACACTAAAACAAACAAATTCTCATATGGAAAATGAAAACATCTATCAAATGTGTCATGCATTGAATTTTTCAGTGTCAAAATATTGTATATACTAAAAGTCGAGATAATTACATCATCATTGTGAAATATCAGTATCAAATTGATCTTGTCAAACAAACAATGAACCAGAGTATGTAATGCAATTGAACCGATTTTTTTACTGATATGAAATATTATGCAGTATGTGAACACAACAATTTGTATAGGCTAAAGGAACCTAGTTATTATTTTGCTTTTTGAATTAGGACTTGTACTCTTAAAACAGTCAGAGGGGGTCCGTAATGATTAATGGCAAAGGAATTGACGGCTCATCTGTTTATTTTATCAGAATAATCTTGAAAAGAAAATAGGGTGGGAAAGCAGGAGAGTGAATGACAGACAGGGGAGGCAGTGGAAAGACAAATATTCTGTACTTGATCGGATACCGATAAGTGTAATAGTGTGAAACAGAAATGAGATGAGAGAAACAAGCAAAGCAAAAGAGAGTGAGAGAAATAGTAGGTGGAAAATATGGACATGGAGGAGGAGGAGGAGGAGGAAGATTGGGAGGGATAAAGAAAAGGAGGGCATCAACAGGAACTTGTTTGTGTTTACAAAGCATTATTGCAGCAGAAATAAGAGGAGAAAGGCTTTCTCAAGCAGGCTGATGTGCTGCTTCCCAAGACTCTCCCGTTCATTAGGATGGATAGATGTGTGCATATCACCCTCTGCCGCGAACCATGCAATAACCATCTGCAGTGGGTGAGGCAAGTGGGTGCAGGCATGTATGTGTGTATGCGTGTGTGAGTCTGAGGTCTACTGTCAGCTATCCAGGGAGCCAAGCAGAGGCTACAGACCAGCTTATATAACCAGTCTGTTCGAGCTGTGCCTGTGGCAGTCACTGTCTCAAAGACCCACATAACACAAACGCACACATATAATCTTTCATTCCCACAAACACACTTGAAAAGCATACATACATACGACTGAGTCGACATCTTTCATGAGAGCAGACTTTTGACAAAAAAGTTACAAAAAATAGATTGCATACACAAATGCACATGGTTCTTTCCACAGTTACACATAGACACTTTAATTATGCAGTCACGCCTGTTATAGCATAAACCCCACGGCTTTGTGCAAGTGCACCAGTGTTGGTCCATGTGTGAAGTGGATGGTTACTGGGTTGCAGGTCTTTGTCATTACATTTGGGTGAAGTCTAGCCCCTAATAGGATACAAAAGAGGCGGATGGAGACTGTGGCAGGTTTGGGATGAGTGGTTGCTGCCAGTGGATCGCTAAAGGTGTTACATAACATAGAGAGGGAGATAGAGGGGGGAAGCAAACTGGGTGTGGGAGGACTGTCTGCTTAATTCTGCTCCTTGACTGCCATCCAGAAAAGTGTAAGGTCATAGCTGGATAGAAAAGATAGATGACTGCAAATAACAGGGTCAGAGGGGCCATGACATTGAATGGGAGT